CTACATTCACAGAAGGATCAACAAAGTTGGCGAACCTTCTGGACCTCTGCTTTCAGTTGATCAGCATAACAGTCAAACTGACTGTCCATAGCAGAATACGCCACATTCCAAGAACCAAGAATGTGTTAGCAGTACACTATCGTGTCCAACGCAGCCATTCTCAACAGACTGGATGCTACATTCAGAGATCTTCAAACAGATCATATAAGAGATGGTTGAACCTTGAAGAGATCTCTTCCCCACAAGGGTCAACTGATAACACAGGGGCAACGGACATGCGAAGCATCTCCTGCCTAGGTCTAAAACACTTACGTGTTCTCCACCAGCTCTAATACCTAGGGTATTGCAGAAATCAGTCAGGTGAGAGACCCACAACTATTTGGGGCGCGCCTTTTGACCAGCGAGAATAGGAATTCTTATTCTCATACAAGACCTAGGACTGCTTCTACTGCAACTGACAGAGTGTACGAATCTACTAGTACATCCTCACACAAAATAAGTGCACAAAAACCCAGAAGCATTCCAACTTCACGTATGGACTGTATTAAAGCGTGTTTAAACAAAAGAGGTTACTCAGCCAGAGCGGCTAAAGCAGTCACTCTTACTTTACGCAATGCTACACGCAACTTGTATCATGACAAGTGACACAATTTTGAGATATACGCTGCTAAAAAGGGATTTACAGCTAGAAATGCTACACATCCTCAAGTGGCAGACTACCTTTGTCACCTACGACAAACTAAACGTCTAAAAGGCTCGACACTGTCAACATATCTCGCAGCACTAAGTTCAGTGATAACTATGAGGACGGGTGCCAAGCTAACGAAAACATCAGAGTTACTGGATTTGCTTCGTTCATTCCGATTGGAGGATCAGAAACAGAAGTTTCGTGCTCCAGCATGGGATCTAAATATAGTGTTCCAACACCTCACAAGTGAGGCTTATGAACCACTGGAATCAACATCGTTCGAATTTCTGACGCAGAAAACACTGTTCCTGCTATCCCTAGCAACGGCAGCCAGGATGTCAGAAATCCACGCTCTAGATTACGAGAGAACACGTTTCGATGACAATCAAAACACAGTGCATATGGGCCTGAGATGGGACTTTATCGCCAAGAATCAACTGCCAGGTCAACCAGACAGATTATTCCACGTCCCTGCACTTTCCTCGATACTCGGACCTCATGATACGCTTGACCTATCATTATGCCCAGTGAGAGCACTCAAAGTATATCTACAATGATCCAAAACGAGGCGATGAAAACTCAAGCGGTTATTCATCCCTCTTTCGACAGCGACTCAGACCGAAGTCTCTCGTACCACGATATCAATATGGATCAGAACTGTCATACTTCGAGCCTACAAAGCTGCAGGACTCGACCCTCCAAGAGCATCTAATCCCCATGAAATTAGAGCACTGGCTTCGACACTCGCTCTACACGGAAATTGCTCGTTGAATACCATTATGGAGGGCTGCTTTTGGAAATCCGACATGGTGTTTGCTAACCACTATCTGAGAGATATCGCCACCGAGGACGTCTCAGGTATTCACCATTTCGGTCCCTTAGTCCTCACACAGCAGTTGACAGTTCCTCGCAGACGATGAGACATAGTCTCATGAGATTATTTCTGTATATACTATATCAGTATTATCTAGCTTACAACTCTACGGAGTTTTTGCTATTTATGTATATCTTAAGCCTACATTAGTCTTAAGCCCAGTACTTGTGTTACATGTACATTTGGGTCGCTTCTCCACTTTGGAGTCGCCTTATTATTATTATTATTATTATTATCATATTATCTTAATATTGTAGTACCCCCATCTATGGCAGCTGGTACAACTTATGTATTATAGCAGCAGGAATTATCTTAATTACAGTGCCATTATGAAGTTCCCGTAGGGGGTTATTACATATAAAAATCACTAATTAAAATCCAAAGTATCTGTTCCCACCTCCGTTCCTCGTGAGGATTCTACAAACAAAAAAGAGCATGAGTCAGGATAAGGGAAAAATATGTAATTTTCTGAATAAAATTCATATTTTATACTTATCCTGACTCATGAGGTAAGTTCTCCCATCCATCCCCACATGACACTTTGGATTTCCTGTAAATTCAAGTGTGGGGCTAAACAGGAGAGAGTAAACAGGAAGAGTAAAGCATGTGGGAAGTGGTGGCCGTCTTTCAGCCTTGTCGGAAGGGAGCAACTCTTGGTGAGTACTAATTAGTGATTTTACATTGAAGGGAGCTTCAATTAGGGAGATACAAGTGTTCCACTATGTTCGCAAGAAGAAGAAGACAAGCAAAAGAGCATGAGTCAGGATAAGTATAAAATATAAATTTTATTCAGAAAATTACATTTTTCTCCAGGTGTTCACTGGTACCTTGTTAGGCCCAGATGTACACTGGTCCTGTCATTCCCCAGGTATATACTGAAACCCTGTTATTCTCCAGGTGTTCACTGGTACCTTGTTAGACCCAGATGCACACTGATCCCGTTATTCCCCAGGTGTATACTGAAACCCTGTTATTCTCCAGGTGTTCACTGGTACCTTGTTAGGCCCAGATGTACACTGGTCCTGTTATTCCCCAGGTGAATACTGAAACCCTGTTATTCTCCAGGTGTTCACTGGTACCTTGTTAGGCCCAGATGTACACTGGTCCTGTTATTCCCCAGGTGAATACTGAAACCCTGTTATTCTCCAGGTGTTCACTGGTACCTTGTTAGGCCCAGATGTACACTGGTCCTGTTATTCCCCAGGTGAATACTGAAACCCTGTTATTCTCCAGGTGTTCACTGGTACCTTGTTAGACCCAGATGCACACTGATCCCGTTATTCCCCAGGTGTATACTGAAACCCTGTTATTCTCCAGTTGCAGATTGGTCCACTGTTATTCTTCAGGTGTATTTTGGTCCCCTGTTATTTTCCCGATGTACAGTGATCAGTGTTAATCCCCGACTGTACAGTGGTCCCGAGGAATGCACTGGCCCTCTGTTATTCCCCCTGTTGTTCCCAGGTGTGCAGTGATCCCTGTTGTTCCCCAATTGTACAGTGGTCCCCAGGTGTTATTCCCTACACACTGATTCTCTCTTGTTCCCAGGTGTACACTGGTCCCACTGATTCTCTCTTGTTCCCAGGTGTACACTGGTCCCCGACTGTACAGTGGTCCCGAGGAATGCACTGGCCCTCAGTTATTCCCCCTGTTGTTCCCAGGTGTGCAGTGATCCCTGTTGTTCCCCAATTGTACAATGGTCCCCAGGTGTTATTCCCTACACACTGATTCTCTCTTGTTCCCAGGTGTACACTGGTCCCGGAAGTGCTATTTCCACGTACAGCTACAACATAGAGTTCCAGCGAGCCATCGACAAGGCTGCAACAGGTCGTGAGGTGGAGACGATCAAGCTGTTTAAGCCAGAGAACAGCTCCCTTGGGTTCAGTGTGGTGGGGCTGAAGAGGGAGGAGCAGGGAGAGCTCGGCATCTACGTCCAGGACATCAACCCTGGGGGCATCGCGGCAAAGTAAGTGGACATGTATTTCATTGGCTGGAGCAGCATTTCTGCGATGTTTTGAAAAGTTTGATCTGAGAACTGATTGTTTTTCATACAAGTATCCTAACCCAGCATCTCAATCACGTCACAGGTTAATTTATGATGCTATTTTACGGTATCATGACAACTGTTTGTGCTGACCCCAGGATTAGCAGTGGTATTTTTACCTGAACTATGGTATACCTTTCTTAGTTTATTTTTGACAAAAAGAATGATGACAATTTTTATGGATATACAACTTCTTTTATTCTGTGAAGGGCGAGTTCAACATAGATTCTAATGTCATTTTCAAGCAAGTGATAACGACATAAGATTAAGAATCTTTGTCGAAAAATCGCCCTTCACAGAATAAGAGAAGTTGTATATCCATAAAAATTGTCTTCATTCTTCATCAACTTAACTTCTAAAATGCCCATCAAAGCAATATTTTTGACATACCTTATTCTTGTGAAAACACAAGTTATCACAACTCAGAACACCCTCTCCCATAGATTTACATCAATGCTTCTTTACAAATAATACAGCTTCATCGGTCCTGATGATCTGTGATGCTGAGAAGTACAGTGTCAGAACACAAGGACCCTTGGTTCTTTACTGTAACTCTCCATTAATCAGTTTTATTCAAGTCTTGTCTTGCTGGTCCAGCCCACTCTCAGTCCTTTAGTTAAGTGACTTTGACTGCAAGGTTTAGTCTCGGTTCAAATGCTAGTGCCAAGTATAGGTTTCTGATTCAAAGATAGTTACAACAGGACAAGAGCGGGCAAACACTACGCTGCCTAAGTTTAGGTGTACTCTTAAAAACTCTGGATTCGAAAATTAGATTGCTCAAGATTTAGATAAGATGCATGTTTAATGATGTTTACATTTTGAGGACATATTTGATGTATGTTCATTGTCTACAGGTTGTTTTCTACTATGTTTACTATGCCAACCATCTGTCATTATTGTTACCTCGTTACAAAAATGCATGGAATGCTAAAACATGTTGAAGAGCAGATTGCATTGCATTGTCAACTGTTATGGGGGAATCATGTGACTTCAGTGATCAGTTGACGTCAACAGAATGACATATTCTCATTCTGTGAAAGTACATGACTGTACCTCATCATGTTTAGCAGATGAATTCATTGAACAGGTAGTACCCTTTGTCACCATGTGAATCATCGATTGATCAACAAGATTATGGTCTCTGTCATGGTGAAGCAGATGACTTCAACAAGATAGTACTCTCTGTCGCCATGTGAAGCAGATGTGATCAACAAATTAGCAGAACAGAACTTGATCCCATTCCTGTGAAGCAGATCGTTCAACATTCCTATGTCAAAATTCTGTCACTGCTGTCACATGAAGCAGAAGCAGATGCCTGTCATAGTCTGATGCCTTCATCAACAAGATAGTACTCTCTGTCACAGTGAAGCAGATGACTTCATCAACAAGATAGTACTCTCTGTCATAGTGAAGCAGGTGACTTCATTGACAAGATAGTACTCTCTGTCATAGTTTGCATCAACAAGATGTACTCTCTGTCAAAGCAGATGACTTCATTGACAAGATACCCTCTGTCATAGTGAAGCAGATGAGCACAAGATGACTGCTGACTTCATCAACACTCTCTGTCAGTGAGACAGATGACTTCATCAACAAGATAGTACTCTCTGTCATGGTGAAGCAGATGACTTCATCAACAAGATAGTACTCTCTGTCATGGTGAAGCAGGTGACTTCATCAACAAGATAGTACTCTCTGTCACAGTGATAGTACTCTCTGTCATAGTGAAGCAGTGACTTCATCAACAAGATAGTACTCTCTGTCAGTGAAAGTGACTTTCATGAAGAACAAGAGCAGGTGACTTCATCATCACAAGATAGTACTCTCTGTCATAGTGAAGCAGGTGACTTCATCAACAAGATAGTACTCTGTCTGTCAAGTGAAGCAGGTGACTTCAACAAGATAGTATCATAGTGAAGCAGGTGACTTCATCAACAAGATAGTACTCTCTGTCATAGTGAAGCAGGTGACTTGATCAACAAGATAGTACTCTCTGTCATGGTGAAGCAGGTGACTTCATCAACAAGATAGTACTCTCTGTCATGGTGAAGCAGATGACTTGATCAACAAGACTATGGTCTCTGTCATGGTGAAGCAGGTGACTTCATCAACAAGATAGTACTCTCTGTCATAGTGAAGCAGGTGACTTCATCATCAAGATAGTACTCTCTGTCTCTGTCAGTGAAGCAGATGACTTGATCAACAAGATAGATAGTGAACAGATGACTTCATCAACAAGATAGTACTCTCTATGGTCTCTGTCATGAAGCAGGTGAAGCAGATGACTTCATCAACAAGATAGTACTCTCTGTCATGGTGAAGCAGATGACTTCATCAACAAGATAGTACTCTCTGTCATGGTGAAGCAGGTGACTTCATCAACAAGATAGTACTCTCTGTCATGGTGAAGCAGGTGACTTCATCAACAAGATAGTGGTCTCTGTCATAGTGAAGCAGATGACTTCATCAACAAGATAGTACTCTCTGTCATGGTGAAGCAGATGACTTCATCATGACAAGACTTATGGTACTCTGTCATGGTGAAGCAGATGACTTGATCAACAAGATAGTACTCTCTGTCATGGTGAAGCAGGTGACTTCATCAACAAGATAGTACTCTCTCTGTCATGGTGAAGCTGACTTCATCAACAAGATAGATAGTACTCTCATCATAGTGAAGCAGATGACTTCATCAACAAGATAGTACTCTCTGTCATGGTGAAGCAGATGACTTCATCAACAAGATAGTACTCTCTGTCATAGTGAAGCAGGTGACTTCATCAACAAGATAGTACTCTCTGTCATGGTGAAGCAGGTGACTTCATCAACAAGATAGTACTCTCTGTCATAGTGAAGCAGGTGACTTCATCAACAAGATAGTACTCTCTGTCATGGTGAAGCAGGTGACTTCATCAACAAGATAGTACTCTCTGTCATGGTGAAGCAGGTGACTTCATCGACAAGATAGTACTCTCTGTCATAGTGAAGCAGATGACTTGATCAACAAGATAGTACTCTCAGTCATAGTGAAGCAGATGACTTCATCAACAAGATAGTACTCTCTGTCATAGTGAAGCAGGTGACTTCATCAACAAGATAGTACTCTCTGTCATAGTGAAGCAGATGACTTCATCAACAAGATAGTACTCTCTGTCATAGTGAAGCAGGTGACTTCATCAACAAGATAGTACTCTCTGTCATGGTGAAGCAGGTGACTTCATCAACAAGATAGTACTCTCTGTCATCGGTGAAGCAGATGACTTCATCAACAAGATAGTACTCTGTCATGGTGAAGCAGGTGACTTCATCAACAAGATAGTACTCTCTGTCATGGTGAAGCAGGTGACTTCATCAACAAGATAGTACTCTCTGTCATGGTGAAGCAGGTGACTTCATCGACAAGATAGTACTCTCTGTCATAGTGAAGCAGATGACTTCATCAACAAGATAGTACTCTCTGTCATGGTGAAGCAGATGACTTGATCAACAAGATTATGGTCTCAGTCATGGTGAAGCAGATGACTTGATCAACAAGATTATGGTCTCTGTCATAGTGAAGCAGATGACTTCATCAACAAGATAGTACTCTCTGTCATGGTGAAGCAGGTGACTTCATCAACAAGATAGTACTCTCTGTCATAGTGAAGCAGATGACTTCATCATCAAGATAGTACTCTCTGTCATGGTGAAGCAGATGCCTTCTTCAACAAGATAGTACTCTCTGTCATAGTGAAGCAGGTGACTTCATCAACAAGATAGTACTCTCTGTCATAGTGAAGCAGATGACTTCATCAACAAGATAGTACTCTCTGTCATGGTGAAGCAGATGACTTCATCAACAAGATAGTACTCTCTGTCATGGTGAAGCAGATGACTTCATCAACAAGATAGTACTCTCTGTCATAGTGAAGCAGATGACTTCATCAACAAGATAGTACTCTCTGTCATGGTGAAGCAGATGACTTCATCAACAAGATTATGGTCTCTGTCATGGTGAAGCAGATGACTTCATCAACAAGATAGTACTCTCTGTCGCCATGTGTCAGTAGCAGACAAATCCCCATTCCTTCGTTCCCATTCCTGTGAATTGTTCCAGTAAACACTGCTATTTGCTACAAGCTGATCCAAACAACTACTGAGCATTGACTGCTGTCACATCTGGACCATGTTTAACCTTGGTGCTAGCTTCGTAATTACATAACAGACATACACCTTTTTATTTACATATATTTGGTTTCATGTTGATTGCAGCATAAGCTTAGATGACAAATAAATATATAAACAGTTGAAATGTGGAAAGATTTATTGAGAATTTTGACAGCTGTGAAGTAAGTTTCTTCCAGAGTCATTCAGAACTGGAGATATTCCAGAATTTAGTAGATTATTTGGAATTTATTATGATGCATCCACTGGCATCAATAACACCAATACCTCACTGTATTTCTTTCACTGGGTATCGTCATAATTAACCTCTTTCTGTAAGACGCAAGATGCAGAATGAGGAATAACATGGCATCCTGGGGAAAAAAAAAATCGTAAAATAGGCATGTACTCTTCTTACTCAAAAAATGAATGAGGCTTTAATTGTTAATTTATTGTAACCTTTCAAAGCTGACTGTGTTTCAGGGATTTGAAATTTCACACCAAAACTGTTTTTAGTGGAGAATTGCAGTGTACTCTAAGCTGAAATTGATACTGTCAAATGTTTCAAATCCATTATGGTCTGAAATGAGTTCTTGCATGTTAGGATCAATCATCTCAGGCACATGGTGGAGAGGGATTCATAAAGGGAGATAACCATGCTTGTCTTGGTAATGTGTGCCTTGGACATACTGGAGGGTATTGATCGGTTGGAGCTAGTTTGTGCAGAGGATGTGATGTGCTGTTTTCTGTACAACTTATTTCGATTGATTGAAATGTTTTGTGTTGCGTGCTGGAGATGTGTATTTAGATTCGACACTATGCAACCGTGGTGTTTGGGGCCATGTCTGATTGCCGCACTTTCCTTCAGCGAGCTTTCAGGATGATTTCTGGGCATTTAGCACTTTATGGTGACACAGTTTGTTTTTTATCAAGTCAAATATATAAAAACTCAGCATTCAAAATTGGAAAGCAACATATTCCTTTATCAAAGGAGATGACTAGATGCGTAAGATGCGTAATTTTGAGTCAGTAAAGTTTGTTAACTTTTCACTTATAGATCCACCTGTATGAATTTCTTCAGTGTGGACCAGACAATCCAGTGAGTGATAGTGTAATCCACACACACTTACACTCATCGCATACAGACACACACTTTTAAATTGCCATGAAATTGCAGTAATTTTGAAGATGATGTTATGCCCTGTCTCGCCTCTCATCACCTAGTTTGTTTGAAGATCTTTTGAAGACATTTTATTTGAGTGTGTACTTTATCTGTAAGGATATTTCCATGTTGAAATACAAGCGCGTAGGTGAGTCATGTATGATACAGCTGAACAACGTTTCATCATCGACATCATCTATTGCCCAATATCATCAAATGCCATTTGTAAGTGTCAGTAGACTTTTAGAGCTACAAGCTGGCATTCTATTTAGATCAGGACATTTTATTGTCATATTGAATTAATTTGTATGGGTTCACATACAAATTAAATCTGTAAATCTTGTATATATAGTTTGTTTTCTACATCTGTCTTTAGACACCTGAAGAAGGGGCAAGAAGTAGCCCAGAAACGTGGTATACAATAAACAAGAAATTGCCATCCATATACTCGTCTTATATGGGTTCACATAGATATTTAGTTTAAATATAACTCAAATTTCAAAACTCTTACTGCCCTTCCTCGACAACACAATGTGTTAATATTGAAGGCTGAAAGGGAAATCTGGATTGTAGTAGGCTGTAGAAAGAACAGTTCCTTTTATGTTTCCACTCATGAAAGATTAATTTCAGATATATTTTTGTAAGTGGTTTGAGTTAACTTGTGGTTGTCAGATATCAGTAATCTTTGAGAGCAACACATATTACACAAGACAACAGACCTAACTCATACACCTTGTTAGCAGGGATAGGTGTCTAGCAAGGGCATGATGCTGTACCCTGATACCATAACCTGGTGCAGCATTGTACTGTAACCTGATGCAGCACCTTGGTACTGTAACCTGATGCAGCACCTTGGTACCGTAACCTGATGCAGCACCTTGGTACCGTAACCTGGTGCAGCACCTTTATACTGTAACCTGGTGCAGCACCTTGGTACCGTAACCTGGTGCAGCACCTTCATACTGTAACCTGATGCAGCACCTTTGTACTGTAACCTGGTGCAGCACCTTTGTACTGTAACCTGATGCAGCACCTTGGTACCGTAACCTGGTACAGCGTAACCTGGTGCAGCACGTAACCTTGCAGCACCTTGGTACTGTAACCTGATGCAGCACCTTGGTACCGTAACCTGGTGCAGCACCTTGGTACCGTAACCTGATGCAGCACCTTGGTACCGTAACCTGGTGCAGCCCTGGTACCGTAACCTGGTGCAGCGCCTTGGTACCATAACCTGGTGCAGCACCTTGGTACTGTAACCTGGTGCAGCACATTGATACCGTAACCTGGTGCAGCACCTTGGTACTGTAACCTGGTGTAGCACCTTGATACTCTAACCTGGTGCAGCACCTTGGTACTATAACCTGGTGCAGCACCTTGGTACTGTAACCTGATGCAGTAACTGCATTCTGTAACCTGATGCAGCACCTTGATACTGTAACCTGATGCAGCACATTGGTAACAGTAGCTGCATACTGTAACATGATGCAGTAGCTGCATACTGTAAAATGATGCAGCTCTTTGGTACTGTAACCTGATACAGTACCATCATACTGTAACATGATGCAGTACCTTGATACTCCATCTTAGTACAGCATGAAGGAGATTGGGCTAAAGAATAAATCATTTAATCTCTAATTCAAGTCTCTGAAGCTCAGAATTTATCACTTTCCTTACCATTAAACATGTACATGTCCATTAAACTGGTACCGTGTTATATCGACACATCTACACCAAGCCCCAACATAATATACAGCACTTTGCACTGCTGAAGCCATTGAGCATGTTGAGCCCATAAACTTCATGAGATGATTATTTGATATTTCTTTTCACCCTCTTCAACATCTTCAGTCATGAATTACCTTCCAGTTAAAAAATTCAACACAAGGTATTTCTATCAAGCAAGTTGTTGCCTGAATATATATTATCTGCTTTGGAAGAAACTACACTGTGATACACCAGAGGAGCTTGGTAGATTTATTGCATGTCAAACCCAAGACATTGAAGCAACTTTTACAATCTATTGTTTTTCATCTTTAAAACCTCTAAACATGGATGCAGTTACTAATGTATTACAAATATTGAACAAGAATGATGCAGTGGTTTGTGAATCATGCACTTGGAAAAACACACAAATTAGCTGCTTAGAATCATCAGCATTGAGGAAGTGGTCTTCGGTTTGGTGATATCAATATGATATCAGTGATCAAATATCAAGGTTTTAGGAAGACTAACTGTGTCTTGTACAAGTGCTGGATGGTTTTAGGACAAATAAGGTGTGTTTTGAGAAACAATAAAAAACCTGTTGATAATACCAGCCTCTTCCTGCTTCAAGAAACAATATAAAAGCTGCTGATATTACCAGTACCTTCCATCTTCAAGAAACAATATAAAAGCTGCTGATATTACCAGTATCTTCCTGCTTCAAAGAACAAAACCATATAAAAGCTGTTTATATTACCAGTATCTTCCTGCTTCAAGAAACAATATAAAACTGTTGATATTACCAGTATCTTCCTGCTTCAAGAAACAATATAAAAGCTGTTGATAATACCAGTATCTTCCTGCTTCAAGAAACAATATAAAACTGTTGATATTACCAGTATCTTCCTGCTTCAAGAAACAATATAAAAGCTGTTGATAATACCAGTATCTTCCTGCTTCAAGAATCAATATAAAAGCTGTTGATAATACCAGTATTGTCTTGCTTCAAGAAACAATATAAAAGCTGTTGATAATAGCAGTATCTTCCTGCTTCAAGAAACAATATAAAAGCTGTTGATAATACCAGTCTCTTCCTGCTTCAACTGACAATATAAAAGCTATTGATAATACCAGTCTCTTCCTGCTTCAAGAAACAATATAAAAGCTGTTGATAATACCAGTATCTTCCATTTTCAAGAAACAACATAAAAGCTGTTGATGGTACCAGTATCTTCCTGCTTCAAATTGTTTTATAAAAGCTGTTGATAATACCAGTCTCTTCCTGCTTCAAGAAACAATATAAAAGCTGTTGATAATACCAGTATTGTCCTGCTTCAAGAAACAATACAAAAGCTGTTGATAATACCAGTATCTTCCTGCTTCAAGAAACAATATAAAAGCTGTTGATAATACCAGTATCTTCCTGCTTCAAGAAACAATATAAAAGCTGTTGATAATACCAGTATCTTCCTGCTTTAAAAAACAATATAAAAGCTGTTGATAATACCAGTATCTTCCTGCTTGAAGAAACAATATAAAAGCTGTTGATAATACCAGTATCTTCCTACTTCAAGAAACAATATAAAAGCTGTTGATAATACCAGTATCTTCCTACTTCAAGAAACAATATAAAAGCTGTTGATAATACCAGTATCTTCCTACTTCAAGAAACAATATAAAAGCTGTTGATAATACCAGTATCTTCCTACTTCAAGAAACAATATACAAGCTGTTGATAATACCAGTATCTTCCTACTTCAAGAAACAATATAAAAGCTGTTGATAATACCAGTATCTTCCTACTTCAAGAAACAATATAAAAGCTGTTGATAATACCAGTATCTTCCTACTTCAAGAAACAATATAAAAGCTGTTGATAATACCAGTATCTCCCTGCTTCAACAGACAATATATAGCTGCTGATAATACCAGTCCCATAAAGCTTCATGAGATCACAATATAAAAGCTTTTGATAATACCAGTATCTCCCTGCTTCAACAGACAATATATAGCTGCTGATAATACCAGTATCTCCCTGCTTCAACAGACAATATATAGCTGCTGATAATACCAGTATCTCCCTGCTTCAACAGACAATATATAGCTGCTGATAATACTCTTCTTGCTTGAGGCAACTATCTTAGTGTTTGTGACCATTACCAGTCTTGGTATCTGATGTATCAGTCCATACCAGTTTGTACAATGAGTTGATTTGTCGACAAATTATTTTTGTTCAGTTTCTGAATTGTTTGAGATTATATATTTCCTAAACCCAGACATTCAAAGCGTAACCTCATGTCATACAAGAAACCATTTGTATTGCACAGTCATAAACAAAGATACTTTTTCCGGCTGGAACGCTTTCAAACTTTTTCAAACTGGAGTTGAGAGCAACAAATGCAGAGATTAAAACATTGTGTACTGTGGTTCCTTTGAGTATATTTTGGCACTTGTCTTATAAATATCTGTCTTGCATTTCCCATGATAATGTTGTGATGTATAATTGTTGTTTAGCAAGGATGCTGTGTCGTCTATTCCTCCTGATACTGTATCTTGTTGTGTCCATGTTAATGTCTTGTTAACTAAGACACTTCCCATGAGGCCTTTCAGAGAAATAGGTTTGAAAGAAGTGACAACATTGTGTCTGTTTGCCAACACCAGCTGGAGATTGTTTTTTAGAAGATGTTCCCGGATAATCTATTGCCTTGCCGTTTGCCAAGGATGGCCATGCTCCCCTAGGCATCATCCAAAAAGTTATTTGAGGAGATTGTTTACTGGAAGAAAATGTTTCTCAATGTGGTCTCAGTGCCACTCTTTATCAAATTTCAATTGTTGTGTCTGAGCATATGCATGTAATATCAGCCTGTTATTGTATATATTCCATCTGCATGGTCTGCTTGGTCTTCAGCGTTCTAACATACAGTCTGGGCGAAATGGCAAATTTGCCAAGATGCTGGTATGCCCAGTTGTTGGTACAGACTGGTATGTACTGATTGAGAGTCTAACCTTCCTCACATTTGCCACAACTATGTTTGTCGGGAATCTATTTGAGTGTTACTCTTGCCCCAAATTTGACATTGAATGCTTTTCAAAATGAAAACATATAGGAGCATTACTCAAGATTATGTGTGCATCATTTAAGATAAAGTGTAGATTATTCAAGATTAAGTGTGCATTATTCAAGATTTAAGTGTGCATTATTCAAGATTAAGTGTGTATCATTCAAGATTTATTGCACATTATTCATGATTTAAATGTGCATCATTCAAGATTAAGTGTGCATTGTTCCAAATTAAGTGAGCATGTTCATTTTGTGCTTATTCTGACACTCAACTTTTGATCATTAGATTGAGAATGATTCTTCTATATGGACTATTGCAGTATTCAACATTTGGATATGTAAGGACTTACTTTGACATTTATGGCGATGTTCAACTCTTTCTCCCTCCCACACTCTCACTCAACTACCCAACCACCTAAACACCCAAACATAATCACTAAACCACCGACCAAACCACTCACTCAACTTACACACTCAAGATTCAAGCTCCTTAGCAGCCAGGATTTGCATCTCAGCCAGGATTTGCATCTCATATGTTTAAGCTTTATGTTCATTCCTTACACTTACTTTGCCAGAACATGATGCGTGATGGTTCCTCAGAGTGGGAAACATGGGTCCATTTGTTCACTTTCTATCCTGGTGAGGAGAGTTTGAACACACTCACTCGCTTGCGCGCTAGCTCACGCGCTCGCTCACTCACTCACTCACTCACTCACTCACTCATTCATCAAGTTGACTTTCTGTGACACAACTGGAACAAGTGGCATTTAAAAAACAACTCCAAAATGTGTTTGTTTGCATCTGATTCTGAACTGGATCGAAACCTTGACAATGCGTCCATGTTTACCATGGATGTCGTTCAAGTACAAAACCTTTCAAAGGTCTTCAGTTAGTGCCTCTTCAAGTTTAATCCAGTGGGAATAAATCCTCGGGTCTTGTCGATCTCGGATTATAATTTGATTGTGCGCTGCTGGAAATGACACATTTTAGTTTAAGTGTTCATATATGACCTGTTCTTTGACAACTGGATATATTTCTTGCCCTGTAATATATGCCCTGAAGTAGAAAACCCCTAGCTGTATGCAAGATGTCAGCTTCAGGTCCATCAGGGAATGTCCAGTTTTTCTCTCAGTTTGAAACTTTCAACTGCTATACCCAAACAGTCTTTTTCCCATCCTCAGGGGCGGTGGGGTAGCATAAGGGTTAAAGCGTTCGCTTGTCATGCCAAAGACCCGGGTTTGATACCAACGTGGGTACAGTAGGTGAAGTCCATTTCTTGTGTCCCCCCCCCGTGATATTGCTGGAATATTGCTAAAAGCGGCGTAAAACCATTCTCTCTCGAAGTATGCAGTAGGATGGCTTGGAATATATGGAATTCAGTTCAGATCACATTTTCAAAAGTTTTGACATTGTAACTATCTCCAGCTGGGCATATGAAGAGTTTTTGGCCACAATTAGGAGACTGAAAGGACTTTGGCAAGGTCGATGAATCTGAAGAACACCTCAAACTTCATTGTTGAAATTCAATTTCAGCGAATTGGTGTCAAGGCAGTTTTTACAACTTTGATGTAATCAATATATATTAGATTTTAGGAGACCTATGTGAGTGTCTTTGTCTCAGAAAGGTGGTATTGTTGCTTTGTGTTGGATGATTTAGACCAAGCTGCTGTCCTCGTGATGTGTAAATCTACTAATGTCCGGAATTTAATTGACTGTGAAGATATTGACTTTGCGTCCATGACAGGTTGTGCACCTGGGATCTTGTTCTTAATGAAATTTTCACTTTTGATGTTTTCCATTTTAGCTTTTTGCGAATCCACTCACTTCAGTCTTAGGGATGTTGAGGGGTGGTGGGGTAGCCTAGTGGTTAAAGCATTCACTCATCACAGGTTTTATTCTCCACATGGGTACAATGTGTGAAGCGCATTTCTGATGTCCCCAGCTATGATATTGCTGGAATATTGCTTAAAACGACGTAAAGCTTAACTCACTCACTCACTTTGGGGGGCGGTGGGGTAGCCTGGTGGTTAAAGCGTTCGCTCGTCACGTCGAAGGCCCGGGTTCGATTCCCCACATGGGTACAATGTATGAAGCTCATTTCTGGTGTCCCCCGCTGGGATATTGCTGGAATATTGCTAAAAGCGGTGTGGAACCATACTCACTCACTCACTCACTCACTCACTCACTCACTCACTCACTCACTTAGGGATGTTGAAGTTAGACATTATCGTTTAACTGTCTACTTACTTCAAGCATGAAACATGGTTTGGATTGACTAACGGGATCTGGTGGTGAGGTCCGCTGACCTCGTTGAGATATTAATACATATCCCAAATTCATGGGTCAATGCTACATCATGTTAATCACTGGATTCTCTGTTCTAGACTTGATTTTTACATATCACTATCATGTTAGCTGAAATGCTGCTTTTTGTGATGGTAAAAACAAACAAAAGCTCTGGACAGTTATTGAAGTAGGATAGGGTTGGTGCCACTGTCTACTTAGTTCCGTCTAGAGTGGTGTTGAAGTAGGATAGTTAATTATGGTGTCACTGTCACCACTAACTTCAGCGAGGAGAGGTGCTGAAGTAGAATAGACCGTTATGGTGCCACTATTTACTTACTTCAGTCTTTTGGGGTGTTGAAGTAGGATAGACCGTTATGGTGCCACTATCAACTTAGTTCAGTCTTTTGGGGTGTTGAAGTAGGATGACCTTATCGTATCTATCTACTTACTTCAGTCTTTTGGGGTGTTGAAGTAGGATAGACCGTGCCACTATATGGTGCCACTATCAACTTAGTTCAGTCTTTTGGGGTGTTGAAGTAGGATAGACCGTTATGGTGCCACTATCTACTTAGTTCAGTCTTTTGGGGTGTTGAAGTAGGATAGATAGACCGTTATGGTGCCACTATCTACTTACTTCAGTCTTTTGGGGTGTTGAAGTAGGATAGATGGTGCTTATGGTGCCACTATCTACTTAGTTCAGTCTATTTGGGGTGTTGAAGTAGTAGGGATATGGTGACTTAGTTCAGTTATGGTGCCACTATCTACTTACTTCAGTCTTTTGGGGTGTTGAAGTAGGATAGACCGTTATGGTGCCACTATCTACTTAGTTCAGTCTTTAGGTGTATTGAAGTAAGATAGACCGTTATGGTGCCACTATCTACTTAGTTCAGTCTTTAGGTGTATTGAAGTAGGATAGACCGTTATGATGCCACTATCAACTTAGTTCAGTCTTTAGGTGTATTGAAGTAGGATAGACTGTTATGGTGCCACTATGTACTTACTTCAGTCTTTAGGTGTATTGAAGCAGGATAGACCAGTTCAGTTATGGTGCCACTATCTACTTAGTTCAGTCTTTAGGTGTATTGAAGCAGGATAGACCGTTATGGTGCCACTATCTACTTAGTTCAGTCTTTAGGTGTATTGAAGCAGGATAGACCGTTATGGTGCCACTATCTACTTAGTTCAGTCTTTAGGTGTATTGAAGCAGGATAGACCGTTATGGTGCCACTATCTACTTAGTTCAGTCTTAGGGGTGTTGAAGTAGGATAGACCGTTATGGTGCCACTATCAACTTAGTTCAGTCTTTTGGGGTGTTGAAGTAGGATAGACCTTATGGTGCCACTATCTACTTAGTTCAGTCTTTAGGTGTATTGAGGCAGGAAGGACCGTTATGGTGCCACTATCTACTTAGTTCAGTCTTTAGGTGTATTGAAGCAGGATAGACCGTTATGGTGCCACTATCTACTTAGTTCAGTCTTTAGGGGTGTTGAAGCAGGATAGACCGTTATGGTGCCACTATCTACTTAGTTCAGTCTTTAGGTGTATTGAAGCAGGATAGACCGTTATGGTGCCACTATCTACTTAGTTCAGTCTTTAGGGGTGCTGGTCTACTTTTTCACAATTGCAATTCACAGTATACTGGATCATATTTTGTCAGTACAGTTAAGAAAAATTGTAAACCTTGTCCAAAAAAACATTCCCTGTAATCTGATATAGTGTCATGGACAGTGATAAGATCACAATGGGCTGCAAGCCATTGTGATACAATTTGTTTGGGATATTATACTTGATTTGACCTAAGTGATGTATCCTGTGGAAGCCAGTGGTTGGTTGTGAAGGATTTATCTGGACCAGGGGCTCCTTTCACGAAGCAACCTATACTAAGGTTAACCTTAACTCCCATTCTGTCACATTGCACTAAGGTTTCCTTAGTGACGTACCATAACCTTTGTCCTTTGTGAAAGGAGGCCCTGGAATATTGCTGAGTGCAACGTGTAACATCAAACAAACAAACAAACAAACAAACAAACATAGAAACTATAACTGCAACCTCTGATGTGGGAAACTGAGCAGAATTAGAGTTTTAAAACCATATTTCTCCTCTGTCACTATGCGTTTGTTTCTTAATTTCAAACAGGTAGAGTACAATGAAAACAAAATTGCTCCTTTCACGAAGCAACCTTTACTAAGGTTAACCTTAACTCCCATTCTATAACATTGCACTAAGGTTACTTTAGTGACTTACGATCACCTTCGTGCTTTGTGAAAGGAAGCCCTGATCTGAGGCAGATATTCAAGCCAAAGTGAATTGGAATAGAATTTGTCTCAACTGATGTTAACATGATTAATATATTGTATGTATTTGGGACTTTGAGTTGACTTATTTTACAGTGATAACTGAAAATAATGAACAAGTTTTAATGCTTAGTTCTGTGTTAAGTTGTTATCATACCTGGCTAGTCTGTCATACAGACCCAGAAGCAAATATATCCAAGAAAGCCCACGCAAATCTAGAAAATGTGGCAAGTCTAGATTTCCACAGCTACATTTCTGAACATGAAGAAAGTCTCAGGGCTCCTTTTCATTATATATTTTTTTTTTCACTCTGAGCTTTTTTTCCTGTAAAATATGATCATTTCAGAGACTAGTTGTTAGTCTAATACCTGGCTATCATATCTCTGAATTTAAGAATTTAATAATCTAATTTTTAAACTTAATGATAGTTTTTCCCTGGTATACCTGATGTAGCAGTTAGTCCTGAGCTGATGTTTCTAATTGCCTTAATTTGGGCTTAGCATCCCAGAGGCGGGAGTCCTGTGTCTTAGTGACACTGCTTATACCAACCACCAGGTACATAACCCCATTTTCTGTGCGAAGTACACATTATGTTTGGAATCGTATGGTAAATCTCCAAATCATCATCATCAACTCCATTTTGAGTGAGTGAGTATGGTTTTATGCCGTTTTTAACAGTATTCCAGCAATATCTCGCCAGGGGACACCAGAAATGGGATTCTCACATTATATCCATGTGGGCAATCAAACCTGGGTCTTCGTAGACGAGCCATTGCTTAAACACTAGGCTACCCAACCACCCCAATTCCATGTTGAAATAGACATGACAGTCTCATAATATAACCGTTAAACCCACCATGGCAAGAGTACATGGTTGTGAACGCCAGTATGTATATTTATCAGTCCTTAAAAGCCGATACATATTGAAGTCATTTCTTGCAAATAATATGTTAACAACAAAAGTAACAGAGAGGGGAAATTTATACATGTAATATGAGGTACAGATTGCTTCTGAGAATCATTTACTCGCGAGAAAACCCTGAAGGCAACAGATTGAAGTCGCTAACATTGTTCAGTATAATTCTGGTACACAAGCACTCCATCCTATTAACAGCCAATTAGAAAACAGTGGTCTGTTAGTGGGTGTGGCTCAAACTCATCCAGATCTATAACACATCAATGTACAAAAATGCTCTATGAACCAATCAAATGTCACAGAATAAATTAGATGTATTTATTGTTAAATACTTTTTGGTACCAGTGGTCAATGGCTTGATTAATTGTGATGTTTGTTTGTTAGTATATCTTCATGAGGACAGAATTGACTGATGTATTTCAGCCTATGTGATTCTTCTCAGTGAGAGGAGTCTGTATCGATATGTCAGTCCTATCACTAAAACATGGTTATACAACTGCAGGATGTGATATATCATATATATATTTCTAAAAACTTGCATAAAACCGTACTCGCTCACACAATTCTTGTATTATTGTTGTGTCAAGTGGTTGTTACAGTTCTTTCTGGAAAACGGAACATATCTCGTCAACCACTTCATCAAATGCTAAAATAACATAATGGATCAGTTTTCCTGTATCTAAGTATCGATTGCTGGTTAATAAATTTTGAAGTTTTAAGTTCTTCACTACCTTCGTGTCTGAACACATTAGAAAATGAAACTAGTATATTTTGTTAAAACCGTAAAGTTTTTTCATTACTGGCAAGCTGACTTTTTAATCCATGCCTACACTGTTATGTGTAAATCTCATGAACATCTCATTAGCAAAACAAAGTGAGTAAATGGCTTAATGGATAAAGTTCATGTTGCTAGAACCCTCCACATACACGGTCTGATTTGTGCTATGAGTATGACTGTCATGTAAGCCTCTTACTTGAACATAGATTAATGTACAACATATTACTGAAACTTTCGGTACTGTGAATGTTCCATTTTTCAAATAAATTTGCATGTTAATATTGGTCAAATGCATGTTTAAATTTAACGTTTTAATTGGGATTAAGAAAACAAGATGAAATTGAATAATTGAAAGATTACATCAGTGTTCAGAATGGAAATTAATACCTAATTCTCCAGTTACAAATTAAATATTAACATACATGTAATTCAATTTGGCAATCTCTTAGTGTGATGATGCGTTAGTTTGTGTATCTGATTCATTGTGGTCATAATATTGTCTTCATGCAAAAGGTTGTAGAAACAGTTTTTTTAATTTCATGTATATTAAGACAAAATGCTATAACATATTTAAAACGTATTTTCCTATGTTTGTCAATGGGGTGCAATGACTGATAATATCCAGTCATTTGTTATACATGTTTTATGGCAGGCACGTCTCAATGTAAATGTATGTGCACTGTTTTGCTTGTGCTACAAGTAATCAATGTGGGGTTATCGCTCATAATGAAGGCAGGCTGATAGATGTCGCTAGCAGTGCCGATGTCAAGTGACAGCTCTGCTACATCGCAGCGATAGCGTTACCCAATATCTGTTCTACCACAAGTTTTCTCCGGAAAAGACCCCAAATTTTAATACAAACTACCTACCAAAAGGGTGATTCCCAATCGACATTAAATCATTAGAGCAAGGGGTAAAGATAATGTTAGGAGCTGAGACCGATGGCGTAGAATTGATATAATTGTTGCCACGCTCGGCCAGGAGAGTGAAAAGAGAATGAGCATGCATTGTGGAGGTTATTGATTGCGAGAGGACACACAGCGATATGGTAAAGAACTACAGTGACTGCAGTATCATACTACACAGCTACCGGTGGTGAAGGAAGTCTGGATGTGCTTCCAGATCTCTCTCAGCTTGGATCATAACCAGCTAAGAGACCAACATCTCGCTAGAGCTGCCTTTCTGCTTCTCATCCTTACCGGCAGTTGGTATTATGGGATGTGCTGATGCTGGGATAATTAATAATAATAGCAGATTCGCAGAGAATGCTTTGCCCAGTGTTGCTTGTAAGTGTATGTTCAAAGGTTAGGTTCTGTGACAGTTCGGCCACAGTCACTGCAGCAAGGCTCTGAGCCCATCTTTCGGTCCACATGTGTGCATGTACCATCTAACAGGCGGGTATCCATTTAATTAGTGAATACAACAGCATCGGGAGTATATTGTGTTGGATCCTTTTGAACATGGAGCCAGGTGCATGCTCCGGTGAAGGTGTACTCGTGTGGAACCTGTGAGTGGCGGAACACAGAACGAGCTGAGGGTGATGACTGTAGCTCCCGGCTTCCACACAGGTAGGTCTCCCTTGTTCTTCACTGACCTCCCTCTGCTTGCCTCTCACCACTGATGTATATGCACAGGCACTGACTTGATAGCTTATTACATGTGTTAGATAGGTGGTAGATTACCGGTGGTAGATGGGGATGAGGGGGCGGGGGTGTTTACACTTCCTGCACTGAGAGTTGAGGTTGTGGGGGACCTGTGCGTGGATGGTGTACACATGCCTTGTATTTGTGAAGTATTTCCTCAAAGCTCACCGCATACTTATGTTCTGCTTGTGTTAACATGGGGAAGTCAGATCTATTTTTGAACATTTCCATGTGGATTTGTTATGGCTAATAGTTTTGTTGGTGTTTACGCGTGGATTTGTTATGGGAAAATGTATTTTTGTGCCTCTTTGACATTTTTGGGTTGATTGATTTTAAATTTATTTTGTACATAATGCTGTTGGGTAAATATTTGTGAATATTGTCAACAGATGAGCCCCGATACTGCATTAATACAGTAAGAAGATTTTGTTGAAAGGTTGTACTATATATAATACAAGTGGTATTTTTATGTCATTGCAAACAAACTAAAGTTAATTAAATGTGTATTGAAATATTTATAACAATTTAATTGAAAATTTGGAAACACAGACTATCATGCTATTGTCAGTGGAGCACATGGTTATGACATGTTGTCATCGATTAGTCATCCTTGACCTTTCATATTGGATACAGATACACCTTGATGTTCATGTTCAGAAACAATATATTTTGAATTTAAAAAGTTGTATTATTGTATAAACATGACTAATTTTGTAACATGATCGGACAATAAATATTAAACACTGACTCAAAATTACTAATCCATACCTTGATGAGGATATATATACATAACTGACAATTGTATGACGCAAATACATACATAAACCTTATAGTGCATTTGGTTTTTTCCTGTATAGAGTATGTCTTGTTGAAATATTTATAATAATGAATAAACAGTTCATTGAGGTGGTAACTGAAACTCTGCTCTTCATGAATTAAAACATGTTTTAGTATTTCCTTAGAAGACAGTGGAACAAGTATACAAACACAGAATCTGCAATTTTGGACATTTTTCTTATTTTTTTTTCACTTTGTCAATGCTGATTCATGTGGGTTTTTTCATCCTCTACTGCAAATAGTAATGTTGACCCAATACATAAAGCATTGAATGAGAGTGGCCAGGTTCCTGTTTCACAAAGCTATCTTAGTGCTAAGATGGTTACAACTCCTTTACTTTACCATAGGCTTATGACAGTCACAGTGCTAAGATGGTTACAACTCCTTTACTTTACCATAGGCTTATGACAGACAGTGCTAAGATGGTTACAACTCCTTTACTTTACCCTAGGCTTATGACAGTCACAGTGCTAAGATGGTTACAACTCCTTTACTTTACCCTA